TAGCTTAATGAATCTAATAATATTCTATAAAATTACATATTAATATAAAATAATAAAGGCTATAATAATTAATAATCAGTTCTAAAATAAAAGAAATTTATATTTAAAAATCTATAGTAGTATAGAGAAAAGAGCAAAATTATTAATATGTTGCAATCAAATTAAATGTGATTAAATATATTATTTATAAATTACTTATATGATAGTATGGGTTGTATATATCTATTAAATTAAGTTAAATCTATGTGAGATGTAATTTATTTATTCATCATCTAATTTAGTACTATTTTTAAATATATATGTAGTTTAATAAACTTTTTTACTTTTATATTTTATAATGAAATAATGATTTATGTTTATTAAAAAACAATTTTTTATTTACTATATATGAGTTATATTTAAAGTATTAAAAGTTTAGAATCTGAAATTCAGAATTAATCTTGAACTATAGAATTATTAATAGATTTAGGAAGCATAAGCTTCTTTAATTTATATGTTTAGCTTTTAAATCCATTCTAAAAATTAAATATAAAAATTAAAATAAAACACTTTGAAATTAAATTTTATTTATTTTAATATATTTTAGCTGATTTAATATATATTAATTGAATATTAATCAGATATAAATAAGATAGATCAAACTTTAACTAATTTTTGATGTATACTAATCAGCTATAAGTATACCAATTAGTTATAATTAAAATAAGTTGAATATTGGCTGATTTTTGATTGATTCTTGATATTATCAATATTGAAAATTTGCTTTAGAAAATGATTTATAAAATCATTAGATTTAATTTTATATAGATTAATATTAAGAAAAATCTTATATTACATCATCAAAATTGATTAATGTATTGCATTAGAAAATCAAATAAATTTATCTAATTTGTAGGATTTATAAAATTCATTTGTTTCTTCTGTTTCTTCTGTATTTTTTATACAGCCTATTTATTCTATTTATTCTATTTTATCTATAATTTTTTAACGTCTGTAATTTATTTTATTTATTTTTATTATTTTATTATTTATTATATTTAAGTATATTTTTATTAGAATATATATCTATATTTAGTTAATTTATAATATAATAAGTTAGCTGTAATAAATTAATTTTGTATAAATAGAATAATTTTTGCTTAAGTTGTAAATTAACTCTTTGTGAGTTTTAGTATTATAAATAAAGAAATTAATTTAAATTTACATAAAATTACTTTTTTCTTTAATATTATTCCTCATCTAGAATTTGTTGTAATACTTTACACTAACTTGCTATTAAGTTTATTATTATAAGTTTGACTAAATATATCTTAAATTCTAAGATATAATAAATTGTTGAGTTGATTTAAGTATAACAGATACTTGTAAAATTTAAAGAAAACCTTAAGGACAGAAATTTCAACTTGAAAAAACAATTATTATAACCTTTTAATTTAAATATTAAGATAATATTATGCTAGTTCTTTGAGTAAATCACCTGCAATATCGAAGTTTAATAGAAGGTTTCTTTTATATAAAAGAGTAAAATAAAGGTATAAGATAAAAGAAATAAGATAAATACAATAAATTAGATAAAATGCATGCAATCAATTAATTAATAAACAAAAGACTAGTATTGCTTCTATCAGCGTATCTGTATTAAACAATTTATTTCTTAAAAATTTACTATAAGACAGGTTTATATATACACTCTCTATATCTCCTATAAAACTACTTCTATTTATATAAAAATATATTCTAATAATAATAAATCAAATAAAATAAAGAAAATAGATAAAATAAATAAAATAATATAAATAAATAAAATAATAAAAATAAATAAAATAATTTAAATAAATAAATAAATTAAATGAATTAAATGACGTCAATAATAAATGATGTAATAGGGTCTATTTGCATAATAAAATTAGACTACCAAAATTAAGAAATAAAAAATTAAGTAAACGAATAATAGAACATTTTTTATCATTTTACATAATATATAATTCTTCATTTCACTTTAGACTAATAAAAATTTTTGTATTCAGGTTTTAATATTTAAGTAATTAACTATATCTTATAATACAAGGAGAATTAACTTAAAAATTAAATATTTTGAGAAGATATATGAAGTGTAAATATGTAAAAGGTCTAAAAATAATTTCTTTGAGAATTTTAGTATATAAACCTTATATATATTATTATTTTTAGAAGAAAATATAAGATATTTTGTATTTTAAATCATAAAATTTATACTAAAAACACTTAATTTATTTTTATAAATGGTATTTTTTATTAATTAAATTAATAGCTAAATATTCTTTCATATTTTGCCAAACTGAAATTCGATAGTTTGTCAATACAAATTGACCTAAAATATAATGAATTAATATTATATAATTGTGACTTTTTAAATAAAATTAGTATCTTATTATTTGAAATTATATTTTTTTACTAAAATAATATTGCATATTTAGAAAATTTTCAGATTTATACTAGCAAATATATGCTAGAAAATATTTATCTAGCCTGAATGACAAATTAATTTTATGAATAAAATAATATTAGATTTGATCTAGGTAATAATTGATAATATCATTATTTATAATAAATTTGGCTAAAATATACAAATTTTTTACATGTTACAAAGATATTAATGAACTAAAGATTTTAAAACTAATTCAATACTTTTCAAATTAATTAATTTTGATCTGAATCATTATATCATCTTCTGAATCCATATCAAATAACTTTCTAAATTTTAATGTATTATTAGTTACCTTATAGTATTTAATTATCAAATCAAGTATTTTACTTTAAATAATTATATTATCAGATGATAATTTAAGAAATTTTTCAGAAAATGGTTCACTACTAATAACATTTAATTTTTTAATATTTTATGAATTCACCTAAAATCAGTAAATTACATTAGAAGAAAATTTGTTTTATTTGAAAAAAATCAATAAAAAGCTGATTGTTTAACAATTTAAGCTCTTTTATCTTAATATTATACCAGAACTTGTAATACTGTTGATTTAAATATTAAATATTAATTGATATATTAGTTCAGATTCAATTTTTCTATTAATATTCAGCAATGAATCTAAAAATTATTTATAAATTAGTAAGTTGATTTATTTAAGAAATTTTTAAAAAAATCTAATATTTTATTCATACATTTAAAAAAAAATACCAAAATGCATATAATAAACCATAATCTATTGAGCAATTATACAAATAAAGAGAAAGATAAAGATTTAACATAATTTTATTATGTCTATGATTATTTCAATCAACTTCACTATTTCAATTAATCTTTAATTTTACAATCTGACTTACTAAAATCCTTATGAAATATGTAAGAATCTTTTTATTTATAATCAGAAGATATTTCTAAAGTGAAATAATAATATATATAGTGAAAAATATTCATCACTAATCAACCATAAAATTAGAAAATTCTTCTTCATGAATTTTACCTAGAATTCGACCTAGATCGAAAGGAATCTAAAACTTATTCATCTTTTTCTGAATCTTATTCAAATTGATTCAGATTCATTTTACTATTCATTATGCAATGCCTAAAAATTGGCAATGCATTAGATTGATTATAATATTTTATAGGTTAAAATATAGCAAATGTAATAATTCAGACTATCTTATGCCACTTTGCTTTATAAATCATTTTTATAAAACTTCTGAATTGCAGTGTCTCTATTCTAAAGCATTTTAATGATGCTCAATTGGATTTTATATAATGAACCAATCATTAACGTTATTCATTCCGGCAAAATTATGCTGATGATTTTCATAATTTGCCTTCTTTTCATATCTATGACATGATACTAAGGCCAAAATATGTCCACGATTTTTCTAGCAACTGACATATCACATGAAATAAGAATTAAAGCTGCACAAATGTTCTTTTCTTTAGGATGTTTATATGTTTTATCTATTGTTAATCCATTCCAAAGAGATTCCAATTCATCTACAATTGGCGCTAAATAGTGATTTATTTTATGTAAACTGACTTCACTTAGTTTGGGTAAAAAACCAAGAGTCAGTAAATTTTCATGTTTAATCATATATCACATGGTAAATTGCATATAGCGGTATATATTACTCCAATGCTATAAATAGTACTACCATATGCTGGAACCAATTGAGATTTAGCATCAATTCAAAATGAGAATAAGTCACTTCATCTCGAAAAAATTTGCTTAATCTTCTTCAGAGGATTCTTTTAACATCTGTCACACTTCACCATCATATATATCAGTCATAATGTTGTTGAAACGCTGATGATTTATCCATTATCTTAAGCTAGTTTCAAAATTAGGCCGACGATACATAGAAGCGAGTTGTTGTTGTATTTCTGAAAACGGAAAGATTAAATTAGGTTGAATTACTGTTTGATTTGTCGATACGCCGATTATTTGAGATAATGGAGTATTGCAAAAGCGTAATTTGCAAACTAACAAATTTGAGTTCTAATAGCATATTTCAAAATTCTCCAAAGCATAAAGTAGTTCAATCTCGTCAAATGAGAAAGGAATTAATGCTGATTTAATTTGCGAAATTTTATAAATATGTTTTCTATCAAGGCGAAGTTCGCTTAGCATAACTCGATCACCTAAAATAAATTACCAATGTAAGAATTTATAATATTAAAAAGAAGCTAGTAAATACATTACCAATAAATTGCATCATAAATGTGCGCAATTTTTCTGCACTCTTATCTAGATAGTATCTGAGTAGTGACACCGCCCGAACATAGCCTCCTTAATAAGCTTTTCGATATCCTCTTTAAAACGGCGTTTCCGGGACCTCCTGAAACTTCAATGAATACAATCTCTTTGTTACTTGCAACTTTCATACAGATACCGTCTGCTTTTATTTATTGTCAAATCGAAATCTGGGAACAACATCTTCACATCCTTGATAGATCAACCTGCACCTCGATCCAATCAAATATATTCTTTATAGAATGATTGGATTGCTTTGAACAAAGGGCGATTCTATCTACGATGTATTTCCTTTCCCCAATATTGCGGTCTAATGTGTTTTCGCTGGTCATAGAGAAACTGAGTTGAAGAAGTGTGAATTAGTCTGCCATGCCAAGGAGAACATATTAGAATCCTGGGCAATATACTTATAAGTCATAAAGAATAGATTCGCAAACCTTTCGAAATTGATGATCAGGGCTCAATGGAGTCATCATAACACTCTTGAATACATCTTTTTCTGACTACGTAAGAGATAAGTAAGAGAAATCTTTAATATATATTTGCTATAACATCTAAAAGAGATAAATTTTATTTACCGATAGTATATTTACAAGCAAATCACGAATAACGTCTGGGATTGCATCAACCTGATCAGCTTTCATTATTACACATTGATTGTTAACGTTTACCGAAATATGTTTGGCCAAATATTGTATAGATTTCTCGCTAAGGATTGGCTTTGTGGAGTAGTAATAGGTATTTCACAATGTCTTAGTGGTGGTGTCTTGAACTGAAAAAAAAACAAACATTACACCGGCGTAGCTCTTAACAGATTATATAAGACATGTCAACTTACGCCTTCATCATCGGATTATATGTGCGTTTCTTGATCATTTAAAATACTTGAGAGATTCATTAAGATGTGTTGTCTAAATAGGTATAGATGAGTCAATGATTGAAAATACGTGATTATTACTCTATAAAGAGCAAGATACCTCAAAAAGCTGACTTTGGGTTTGCTCACTAAATTGAGCTTCGTATCTATTTTCTCGGATAATCTTAACATGCTTCTCTAGTTGTTGATCCCGCATGTGTATATAATCCAACTAAAATACGAGAAAAGCAAGTCAAATGGAATTTTTATGATTTGAATAACGTCATTATAACAGTAGAATTTACTTACATCTGAAGACTCTATTTGCCATAATTTTCTCTTTCTTAGTATGTCCGTATTTTCACGATTATTTCAAAAACATTCACTTCAAACGAATTGTTTTCCATTTTTAGAACGAAGAAATATTGGTAAGAATTTTAACTTTTTCAATGAATATATTATTTATAGGCCAAGAGTATTGCTGAAAAACCCTTCACGTGACAATTATGAATTCACATGATATCAAATTTTTTAGTATTTAGAGAGGATCGAAAAAAATTTTGAACCATCCTCTTTGAAATTTGATATCAAGCACATAAGTACGTACAAACAAAACGTAAAAAGATGGCTCACGATCAAGTTTGGTTTTCTCGTCCTCGTCGTTATGGAAAAGGTTCTCGCGAGTGGTAAATTAAATATCTCTTCTTTTTTTTTTTTTTTTTTTTTTGGTTATACCAACATTTCTTATTTTTATTTATAATAATAAAGCCGTGTATGTTCTCATCGTGCCGGCTTAATCCGTAAATATAACTTAAATGTTTGCCGTCAATGCTTTCGTGAATATTCCAAAGATATTGGTTTTATTAAGGTACATTTTTATAACAAGGCAACAGCTAAACAAATAAATATTATTAATCAATCTAACAAAATTTACTTCTTAATTAATAGTACCGATAAGCATTCAAATATTGTTAATTAGTAAAAAAAGTAAATTACTTTTTACAATATTCAATAAGATGTAAAAATTCGATGAATTTCTACCACTTTAATAAATTTTAAAATATTTTATTAATTTTCTAATAATAAAAAAAACGCATTTGCAAAATTTTTGATTATGTTCGGAATTAAAAAACAAAAAAAAAATATATATATATAAATATATAAAAAGAATTTTTTTACTGAAAAAGTAGACAACTTGTATTATAAGAAAGGAGAATTCAACCAATGCCAGTCGTTTCAAAGAAGAATGTAATCCTTCTTGCCCTTCGTGAATAAGTTAGGAAGAAATCATAAGAATTCTGGGACATAAATTGAAAATCATATATTAAAAACATGTGTCCAACGCATATGCTCAACAGTCTGTATATAATTTCAAACACTCACCTATCCTATTATTCGGTGTAAAAAAACTTTGTAAGACCAATTCAACAATACGATCAACGTGACCACTTGCAAACACTTGTTTCATGTTGTCAGTATCCTTTATATCGTTCCAATGTTTTACGGCGAAATCTTGACCAGCATCTTTTAATCGGTCATCATAATATTTCCAACCCAACATTAAGATTTGATCCCAATTTTCATGATTCATCAGTTTAATGATCCTTTTGGCAGCCATTCGACCAAGTTGTTCTAAGCTAAGCATATCAGCCTTAGAATAAATCTCCCTTAAAAGCTCAAATGTTAATCCCTCTTCCAGTTTTCCGGTGTAAAGATGATGGACAATACATCGAAACGCGTCAAATGGCATATCTTTAATGGAGATGGTTTTCATATGACCTTCCAACCATTCTCCTTCCAACATTTTTTCAAAGTATGTTGATCGAGCTGTAAGGATAACTCTATGAGCTTTCATGCTTGAACCACAATCAAATACGAATTCCACATCACAAAATCTATCCACTCCAAAATACCTCTCAAAGGACATAAGTGAAACATTATTTATGTCCATTGAACTCGAACCTTCTCCAGAAGTGATGGCATCTTCAAAGATTTGAGCTCGAACTATTAAATCTACTTCAGCATCATTTGGGAATATTTCTCTAAGAGGAACTATCCTCGCAAATCCATAATCCGCCTTTACTCCGTTGAATTCAAATTTCGTCTCCAAGGTATGACGGTCTATTACAAGTATAGGTGATTGCTTTGTGGTTGGAATATTTAAATCTCGATAAAGTGATAATTGAAATTTCGTGTGCCTTCCCGTTATATTATTTTGTTTCTCATAATGTGTCTGAATTGATTCAAGATAAAGAGAAATGAAATCATTTGATATCTTATCTACACCATTAGGAAACAGTTTTAGCCTCCATAAATATCCCGTATTATTGTAAGAGTTATTTTGTTCATTAATGACACTGATGTCACTTGACTTTACACTTTGACCCCTTGGTGACCAAAACCTTTCACTATAGAAAAAACTACCATTTGGGTGTCTAGCCACTAGCTCGTTAAAGCAACTTATTTTCCATGTGAAGGCAAAGTGATTTCCTTCCATAACTGAATTCTTTCAAGCCTTAAGAATAATTTGTTAAATACAAAACTTGTAAAATCGTGGCTTTTTTACTGGGATCATATGACAAGATTATAAAACGCGTTAAGAATTTTTTACTTGTAGGATTTTTATTATAGAAATTTAGTAAAAAGTTGTCTTTTTGCAACTACATACTTCTATCAAAAAGATATATTGTATAAATTAATTAGATAAAAGGGATGTTTTAAGAAATGTGAATTTTGATTGATTGGCTGAATAAGCCACTTATGTTGACTTATTTTCAGCCTCCCCAAAAATTGATTTTATTTTGAACGTGACATTTTTTTTATATTTTTAACTTTAATTGTAAAATAAAAAGAACTTTCGTAGATATGATGAATTATAGAATTTAATTTAAATCAAAGTATAAAATTTATTATATTCAGCTTAATGTAACAAAACAATAATAATAAAAAAAAAAAAAAAGAATGCATTCTAATAAAAACTATTGGATATTTCCTTTTGTAACTATCTTCAATTGCTATAAATATAAGAACTTTTTTTTTAATTCCACATGGCCGAATTGACCCCGTGGGCAAGGAGATTAAACTATCAAATGTCCACCTTGCCCAAGGGGACAATTCGACCTTGATAAACCACAAAAAGAATTTTGGACTCCGAGATTTACTTTTGGAATCTCACTTATGGAAGCGTGCGTTATTGGCGGAGTAAATCATGTTGAGGTTTTTGTTTAGATGTGTTCTAATCTTAATTAATCTCCACAATTTTTAATGTTTACTTAACAACAATAAACTTAAGGATTTTCTATAAAAAGTTTCAATCCAGCAAGTATTTTTCTGAAAAAGTATTGTTTTGTCCCTCGAGATCATTAATTTAATAAGTGAAGGTGATTAAAGTTTTAGGTTACATATTATTTTAGTTTAAAGAGTAAGATTTTATTTAAATTTATTTTTTTAAGTGATTGGGTGATTTTGGAAAATAAGAATTTCATTTTTTAAACGTGAAGAGGACGGTGATTCGGGAAGAAATTTTTTTTTTTTTTTTTTAAAAAAAAAATATACCGTGTATTGAATTGGACATTTGACTGACATTTTATATAAATGTAAGAACTGATCATCTATGTGCGATTTGTTTATCATTACTAATTTTATATAAAACTATCCATCCAAAATGACAAAGTAATTAATTATGCGACAAAACGAGAACTTGGTCATTGGAAGTATCTTAGGTGTTTTATTTATTCTTATTTTCGATTTATCTAATCTTTTTTTAAATAATTCTTGTAGGTTGGAGAAAAAGTTATATTAGTTCCATATAGGCCCGAACATGTACCTAAATACCATGAATGGATGCAATCACCATTTCTTCAGGGTAAGCTTCATAAAATTCATTCGAGACGATTTTTATTTTGTAATTAATGATCCGATTTTTTTTTTTTTTTTTTTGCATTGGATCAATTAGAAATGACTGCATCAGAACCATTAACACTTGAACAAGAATATGAGATGCAAAGGTCTTGGCATGTCGACGAAAACAGTATGATTCTCTTTTGATTTGTTTTTTGTTTTCATTTGATTTTTGATAAATATTTAAATATCTAATCGTTATTCCGACAGAATGCACATTTATAGTATTGGCAAAGCCGGAGATATCACATGAATTAACAAATCAAGAAATAAAATCGGCAGGTAAGTTACGTTTTTTTATTATTGAAATTAACTTTTTAAGTGTTCTAATGGTTGGTTTATTTTTTTTGAATTTAGAAATGATTGGTGATGTGAATTTATTCTTTAATGATAATGATGATCCGAATGTCGCCGAAATTGAAATCATGATAGCAGGTAATAACAGTTTCTAATATCTTTTTTTTTTTTTTTTAAAAAAAAAAAAAAAAAAAAAAAAAAGAGAGAAAAAAAAATAATAATCTAAATTTTCATCTTTTTAAAGAACAATCATATCGTCGATTAGGTTTAGCAAAGAATGCTTTATTGTTAATGTTTCATTATGCGATAAATGAATTAAACGTAACAAGATTTTTAGCAAAGATTTCTACAAACAACCAACCATCAATACAACTATTTACAAGAAAATTCGGGTTTGTGGAAATTAGCTTTTCCAAAATTTTTAAAGAACATTCTTTGGAATTGAATGTTAGTGAAGAAATTAGGAAAAAGTTTGATGATAGCACAAGAGGCAAATTTGTTACGAGAACTTACGATTGAAGATATGTTTTAAAATAAATATTGATCCATTGCGGTATAGCTCACGTGCGCATGTGTTTCTATTTTTCGTATATCATCAATGCTAATTAGTGTGGTAAATGTTTTTAATCACGGGACATTTTTCCATCCAATCAGAACATAACTGATGAAAGTTATCATGAAGATCCAAAAAAAAAAATTTTTATTTCAGATTCCAGACCTTCAATTAATTAATAAAAGTGAGTTAATTAACAAAAGAAGAAATTATGCAATCCAAATTAATATATATGGTTTGATTTCTAATAAACTCGTTATGTTGCCTTTAGTTGATTCAGAAGATGGCAAACGAACTAAGTGAATTCGCTATCAAGCCTCAAAAACATACCCCGAATTTAAACACGTCGGAATGGCCTTTACTCTTAAAAGTAAGGGTTTGGTGCTTTTTAGATTTGATTTTTACTTTAATATCAACGAGCATTAATTTACTAATTTTCTATATTAAAGAACTATGATAAACTTCACGTTCGTACGGGTCATTACACACCTGTTACTCAAGGATGCTCACCTCTTAAACGTGAATTAAATGATTATATAAGGTTCGTGTTCGCTTATCGAAAAAGTTCCTCTTATGTCCAAAAATTTTACTTGGATTAAATTCGTTAAATAAATTCATTAGATATGGAATCATCAATCTCGATAAACCTGCCAATCCCTCATCACACGAGGTGGTAGCGTGGGTACGACGTATCCTCGAAGTTGAAAAGACAGGGCACAGTGGTACATTGGATCCTAAAGTAACGGGTTGTTTGATAGTTTGTGTAGATCGGGCGACTCGTTTAGTTAAATCACAACAAAGTGCAGGTATATGTCGCTCATTATTTTGATTTACAAAAAACATTTTTATTCGAGATGAATAAATAGATCTTTCTATTTTTAATAGGAAAGGAATACGTGTGCGTTGTTCGATTTCATGAGGCTCTTGAATCTGCCAAGAAGTTTGTACAAGGCTTAGAGACTCTCACTGGAGCTCTATTCCAACGACCTCCTTTGATTTCTGCTGTAAAACGTCAATTACGTATTCGTACCATTCATGAAACGAATTTGATAGAATACGATGAAAATCGTCACTTGGGTGTGTTTTGGGTAAGCTGTGAAGCTGGAACTTATATCAGAACGCTTTGCGTACATTTGGGTTTGATCCTTGGTGTCGGTGCTCATATGGCAGAACTTCGACGCGTTCGTTCCGGTGCAATGTCTGAGAATGTGAGTGATCGAAGAATTTGTGTCGCAATATTAATGATTATTATGTGAAATGATCAAAGTTTTTTATTTTTTTTTTGCTTTTAAAAAAATTTATAGGATGATATTGTCACAATGCATGACGTTTTGGATGCCAAGTGGGTTCACAAGAATACGAAAGACGGTAATATATAAGTTATATTGTAAATAATATTAATTCCATAATTGTAAATATTCCTGCCAATTTGTTATTTCAATTAGAAACATATCTTCGAAGGGTTATTCGTCCTCTTGAATCTCTCTTGATCACCTATAAGAGAATTGTTGTTAAAGATAGCGCGGTCAATGCTATTTGTTATGGCGCTAAACTTATGATACCAGGTCTGCTTAGGTATGAGGATGGTATTGAGCTTCACGAAGAGATTGTTCTTATGACCACAAAAGGTGAAGCCATCGCTCTCGGTATAGCATTGATGACAACTGCGGTTATGAGTTCTGTGGATCATGGTACGAATCTTTAATCGCGTATGCCTTCATTCTAATTATGATTAACAAACATTGCTAAATATGTTTATAGGAGTTGTCGCAAAAATTAAGAGAGTAATAATGGAACGAGATACGTATCCAAGAGCATGGGGGTTAGGACCCAAGGTCAATAATATTACAGCTTTTGCTGCTTAGGTTTCTTATTTTCTTATTAAAAAATAAAATTAATTTAACTTCTGTTTTAATAGGCCATGGAAAAAAAGAAGCTCATTTTCGAAGGAAAATTAGATAAATATGGTCGCGTAAATGATAGTACCCCTGAATCTTGGAAGACTTCATTTGTAGACCTCAGTGCAGTTGGTACCAGGAACGATGAAGTACCAGCGAATTTAATTTCTACTACGCCGTCTACATCTGCAGGAGTTTCAACCCCTGCTACTGAGCCAGTAGAAGGTGGAACAAGTACAGCCGTGAAGGTACGTTAAAAACTTTTTTTTAAAAAAAAAAAAAAAAAATTTGAATTATTAACGTTGTTTTTTGTTATGAATACAGAGGAAAGCTGAAGAAGAATCAGATGTTCCTGAAACAGAAGGAGGATCCAAATCATCGAAGAAAGAAAAGAAAGCAAAGAAGGTTAAGATTAAGGAGACAAAGGTAATTATGTTCCATTTTTATTTTGTTGCTTATTTATTGAAATATTTATTTTATATGATTTTATTATATTCGCAACGACAGAGAAAATCAGATGAAGATAGTGATATTGAAGAAAAGACAGAAAAGATTTCAAAAAAGAAATCTAAGAAAGAAAAGAAGTCTGACGTATCTGAACGTGAAGTTGACGAAGAAGAAGAAAAGAAAGAAAAGAAGAAGTCAAAAGTGAAAAAAGAAAAGAAGGACAAAAAAAGCAAATCAAAAACCTCCTAATAAAAATTATTTTATGAAATTATTTATGGTTGTTAATTAATCGTTGGGCTTCTATTATAAACTAGAATACTTTGTAAAATTCGTGTAAATATCTTCAAAACTTTTTTTTTTTTTCAATTTCTTAACGAATATGAATTCTGATTGCTGATTGGATAGCAGATCAATTGCCTAAATTAAATAAATAGATGGAATTTTTATAATAAATAAAGTAAAATAAAATAAATTTCAAGTTTTTTTTATTGACTATAATGTTTGCTGAGCAAGATTCTCGAGGAGACGCTCCCAAGCGTGATTTGAGCAAAACTGTCAAGGCTAGTGCTGAAGACGACGATGTATCTCAGCCTGATATAAAGAGAATTCGCGTCGAGCCTTCGGCTACTAACGATCTTTATCTGGACACCGTACGTTAACTTCTACACCTTTATTTTTCAATTCCTGACCTATTTATTTATTTATTTTTTTATAGATAAATCGGCATATGTTGGACTTTGACTTTGAAAAAGTCTGCTCGGTTTCTTTGTCAAACTTAAACGTATATGCGTGTTTGGTGTGTGGTAAATATTTCCAAGGTGAATAATATTTAACAAACTTTCTTGTCTCGATACATTAAATTTTCTTCAGTTGTTTGATTTATTTTTGTATCATTGTTCTTATTAGGTCGAGGACGTCAATCACACGCGTATTTTCATAGTCTACATGAGAATCACCACGTTTTCATCAATTTACATACTCTTAGGGTACGAGTTTTATTTAAACGAATTCATAATCTTATAAACAATTGCTAAATTTACATGTAATCTTCAATAGGTATACGTTTTACCTGACGGATACGAAGTCAATGATTCATCGTTAGATGATATTAAGGTGAGCTTAAATCTATAAAAAATTTAAACAAACCAGTAGAGTTGAATTCTTTACATTAATTTTATGTATAGTATGTACTCCATCCAATCTTTACGAAAGAACAAGTCGCGAAATTGGATCAAAATATAAGACATTCATATGACTTAAATAACAAAAAATATTTGCCAGGTAACAACTTGGTAAATGATTTGAGAGTTTTATTTTACTTTTATTTTAAATCGTATTTTATATGATTAATTTCATTGATGATATTTGATTTGTCTGCTATATGCAGGTTTTGTAGGTCTTAACAACGTAAAAGCCAACGATTATGTTAATGTTATAATACAAGCGTTGGCACACATTCCACCCCTTCGAGATTTCTTCATCTTGCAAAATTTTGAATCCAAGTCTCAATTGGGTAATTCATAAGCATATGTTATAAACTTGATAATTTCTTACTAAATTTAACTTTTCTAATATTATATTCTTAATCATTCATTACAGTGCAAAGGTTCAGTACTCTAGTTAGAAAAATTTGGAATCCCAGAGCATTTAAAGGCCAAGTCAGCCCACACGAGTTACTTCAAGAAATTGTTAACGCAAGCGGCAAAAAATTTAAACTTGCTGAACAAAGTGATCCTCTTGAATTTCTTTCCTGGTTTTTGAATACGTTGCATAAAGATTTAGGTGGAACGAGAAAACCAAAGTCGAGTACGTATATATAGAATAAATGATTTATTTGCATTAATGTTGATATTTACATTATCAATTTTAGGTATTATTTATAAGATATTTCAAGGTGAGGTCAAAGTTGAAGCACAATCGGTTCTTATAAAAGATGATGCTGATGAAGAAGAACGATTGTTGTTCGATCTTGACAGAGGTAAAAAAAAAAAAAATTTATTTAGCTATAGCTTTTAGAACACAGATGACAATCAAATTATGCGGTCATTTTTTTACGCAGGGATATGTAAATCTATTTATCATTTATATTAAGTCACTATGAATATGCTGACTATTGCAACAACCTCCAAGACGTGCTATCAATTCTTTCATCTCTACCTAGAGATTTTAAGACTTTACGCGAATGAACTGTATACTTTTGTGAAAGTGGTTTTATATTTGAAGGAAGGGAAGCATAACATAAAGAGGCGGGTGAAATTAAGGTGTAAACAAAATCACAATGCCATTCCCTAATTTTGTCAAAGTGTCCGCATAATTTGATCTCTCTCGATATATGATAATGTACGTATTATTTTGATTTTTTAAATAATAGAAATTTCGGTCAATATATCACCTTTTCTATTTTTAACATTGGATTTGCCTGCACCTCCCCTGTTCAAGGATGGGGTTGAAAAGAACATTATCCCTCAGGTAAATTCATGACAAGATTAACATTTTTTATCTTTCAAAATATAATAAATAATACATCCTCTTATCTAGATTGCTTTGACAACGATACTTGCTAAATATGATGGTCGTACTTCTCAAGAATCGGTTGGAACCTTGAAAAGGTTTCAACTGACTCGTCTACCAAATTATATCGTTTTTCATATCAAACGCTTTACTAAAAATAATTGGTCTGCAGAGAAAAATCCAACAATTGTTAACTTTCCAATCAAAAATATTGACATGAGAGATTGTAAGATATTGATTTTTCGAATTTTAATATAATTAAATATATATATATATATATAACTTATCAACGTTTATTTCTATTAATAAAACTTAATATAGACCTTGAGAATCCGGATGATGAAATGCTTGATACTCACTATGATTTAATCGCGAATATTTGCCATGAAGGTAGACCAGGCAAGGGTAATGGTATTTATAAAGTTCATGTTCAGCATCGTGGCAAAGATCAATGGTATCAAATTCAAGATTTAATTGTTGAGGAAATCAATGCACAAATGATTTTTTTATCCGAAAGCTATATTCAGGTAATCTTTCTCAAAAAAACTTTAATCGATTCAACTTTATTGTTCATGATTGATAATATCATTATTTCATATTTCAGATATGGGAAAGAAAAGAGCATGACTTGTGTTAAAACAATTGTATTATTAATTATTAATATAAATTTTATGAAAGATATAACAATAAAAATAAAAGATCATTAAAAATAAAAAATAAATTTTTGGAAAATGTTCAAGTTTAACCCAATTAGGCTAAGTATTATCACATGACCAACCAGCCTATCACATTAAATTGGCGTATTAGGGGATTTTCTTTATAAAAGCCGGTCTCCCTTTTTTTTAATAACAAAACAAAAATGAATCCACAAAGAATTCAACGTGCTGTCGCACCTTCGGGCTACTCAAACCCTCTTGTTCTTTCGCAAGGAATACAAGGAATACAAGGAATACCACCTCAATATCAGTATCGCCCAGCTCCATACCAGTCTTATGGACAATCTCAGGTTAGTTACACGACAAGCTAATACATACTCCTCGCGTCAATTCTATAGATTCTTTGTTATTAGCAGAAACTCAACGGACAGCTCAGCTTTCCCATTTTTGGCTTGCACCAGGAATATGTTTAGAATATGTGTAACATACTTCTGCGTGCATATCAATATAAAGTTATAACGTTTCTAATTTATTTATTAGTATATTCAACCACAAAGGCCAACAATGGCAAATACAAACCAACCTCGCCCGATTCTTGCTTCACAGCACGCTGGTCCTTCAACATTAGCGATAGCACCAGTACCAACAGTAATAAGAAAACGCATTAATCCCGACCCTCCTTTAAATATTGGTTCACAACAGTCAAAGTAAGTTTATTTTACTGAAAAAAGAAATCTTGAAAACTTGATCTTTGTATATTCTTTTTTTTTAAAAAAATATATCATTTTTATATAGGAAAAAGAGGGCGGTTGAACGAAATATTCCCGAGAAGGTGAGAATTTTTCATAATGATAAACTTTATATTAATTCGAAATATTTATTTATTTTTATTTATTGGATTAGCTAAATGCTATTGTACCCGAGTCTCGTTTTTATACAGAACTTCAAGAATTTGAAAGGAGACTGGACACGACAATTACGAGGAAACGTCTTGAAATACAGGAAACCATTAATAAACCAATGAGGGTAATCCTTATTATATTTATACTTTTTTATTTATACATTTATTTCTGTATTGAGATTTAATCGGAGAACTCCATTAACTTTTTTTTTGTAAATTCTGCATTAGGTTAAACGCACACTACGAGTTTTTATCTCCAATACCGCAATAAATCAAAATCCCGTACAGAGGGAAACCGATGAAAATGAACTTGAATATTGTGACGCAAATACACCGGCTTGGATACTCAGAATCGAAGGAAGGTTGCTTGACGTAAATATAAAGAAATTTTTTATTTGGTTTTCTTTTTATTTCTTTTAAATTGCTAATTACTTATTACGATTATAAATATATAAATAAATATATATATATATTATAAACATATTTATAAACAGCTTCCAAATGTAACCAAGTCTACTAAATCGCCACCTAGAAAATTTTCCACTTTTTTTAAATCTATCATCGTTGAGTTGAATAGAGATCCTGAAATGTACCCAGATGGAAATATAATTGAGGCAAGGAACCTTTTTCATCATTTTAAGTAATTATTAATAGATTACAAATTTTTAATTTATATTTATGTATCACAGTGGAATAAGGCTTCTTCTAGTCCTGATGGATTTAATGGATTTGAGATTAAACGAAAGGGAGACACGAATCTTAAATGTAAAATATACTTCAATTTGGAGCATATACCACAAAAATATAAGTTGTCTGAGGAATTGGCGGACTTGCTAGACATACATGAAGGAACGAAACCTGGAATTATTATGGCATTATGGCAATATATTAAGGTTATTATAAAATATTAAAGGTTCGAATTTATGAGGCGAATATTTAGTAAAAAAAAAAAAAATGAAAAAAAAAAATGATTTATAATTTATAATTGTAGATTAATAATTTACAAGACAATGAAGATAAGAGGTTAATTAACAATGATGCGCGTTTAGAATCTGTATGTCCAAAAAATTTTTTCTTCAAAAATTCACGTTATATTTGTTTATATATTCAAATTATATTTACACGATTCTTATTCTAGCTTTTCAGTTGTCCGCGGATGATTTTCCCGCAAATGCCGGAATTGCTTAATAAACATTTGCAACCTCTTGATCCTATAGTCATAGAATATACAATTCGGTATGAATTTCGAATTAATTTTTTTTTTTTTTCCTTCCTCAATGTTGAATTGTTTCTGCCTAAAATTTTTTTTAGAGTAGACAAAGATTTTCACCAATCAAGATATGCTTACGATATTGAAGTTGAATTTGACGACCCTAATAAAACGAGACTTCCTTCTATCTTTTCAAACGTTGCGAACCAAAGGGAAATACAAACCTTTGATGACAAGGTTCGCTTCTAAACATAAATTATTTAATTTTAATTAAAATTCTGACCCGCCTTTTTATGATAATATATTTAGATTGTTCAATGTGTACAAAGTATAAACAATTCGAAAACCAAACGCGACTTTTTATTAAATTTCGCGAAATCCCCCGTTGAATTTATTAATAAATGGGTGGAAAGTCAAAGTCGAGATTTAGAAGTAATTAAATTTATTTATTGTGACTCTATTAATTTTATAAGTACGTGAGATCTAACATTAATGTTTACATGTAGTTAATATTAGGTGAACATTCAGTCAATCTTGAAGATCAGAGAAGATCCAATTTTTACAAGCAAAATTGGGTCAGCGAGGCCGTCTTCCATTATTCTAACGCGTTGACTCAGAAAAAAATGCACGAATTATTAGGGTCAAGTAATAGCGGTATTAAAAATGATCCGAAAAAATAAGCGAGAATCATTAATCTTTGTTATATATTTTTTTTTGTAATTTTAATTATATATATAATTAAAAAAAAAAAATAAATAAAATAAAATGAATAAAATAATAAAAATAAATAAATAATAAAACGCAAATATAAATAAACTCTTTATCTTAATATTCTGTATTACAATCTGTGTTCAATAATGGACTTTAAATATTTCCTAATACACTCGACAAAATGATTAAACATCACTGCATTAATCATCACTACAATATATCGTTTTATCACCTACCATTACAAAAAAGGTTGATTTTCAATTTTTATTTCTTTTTACTTTCCTTTTCTTGTATTCCCTTTTTTATCATTATATTTCGACTTCCTTTTCCTCTCTTCTTCTCAATACTTTCTATTTATTTATTTGCTTTTTTTTTTACAAAAGATATCCTTTTTATTTTTCAAAAAGGTTTATCATTCATATATTGATTTATTTAGTAGCGTTTCGTAATTTGACAGACTGTCATCTCACCCTCACTAAGTTTCAATTTTAAATACAACTTTTAATTACAATGTCATTAATTAAAAAGATTAAATCTCAATACGAAATGTGGAAGGTAACGAAGTATACTAGACGAAGATCCGCTATGACACCAGATTTCGAACAAAAAGATCCAGATTTTTATAAACAGAATTATGTTAATGGAGTTTATTTAAATTATGCTAGTCCCGAACAACCTATTCCAAAAAGGAATAGTAGTAACGCTAGTTTCGTAAAAAAGAACCATAATAGTAAATCTTCAAAAATGATTAGATGTAGCGAAACTTATAATTCATGTTAATAGGAAACAATGTGTCAGGTAAGGATAAATTTTACTTTTATTCTCCAGTGGTTGGATTCTATCTTCATTTATCTATACTAACAATAGACATTCATCTCTTTCTTTTGATTAGACGACCATCTTGTACGTCTCATTTTAATGGTCCCTTCTCTTCCTTCTACTAATTCAGTCAATTCATTGAACAAAATTATTTATTTCTCGCATAAATTTTTTATAAGATTCATTCATGTGATATTTTTTTTACGTCATACACATTTTATTTGTTATCAATTTATCAATTTGCATTGTCTTTCCATTTTAATTGTACAAACAGGTTCTTTTTTTTGTCATCTATTTTCATTTATTGTTTTTAGAATGATTGATTTTTACGATAACTTTATTTTTTGAACATTTAAAATTAATTTAATTCTTTTGTGATCTTTAATCAGGGAAAAGGGATGATAGATATTAAATACTTGTATATTATAAGGGATAATTTTGATGAGACGATTTTTTTCCTTTTTTTTTTTTTGTTTTTTTTTGTAAATAAAAAAATCAAATGATTTTTTATTTGATAAACGAATTTTCAAATCTTACAATGTCATCAAAGTTCGGGTTTATTTTTTTAATAAAACTATTTTTTTATAAAGGGAAATTATTTGTTTCACTATTTTATCAAAATAAACAAATTCATTTTAGGTTGGATGATCTAAGATAAATTAGATAAATTACTTGCATGTGAAATTAGATTCTAACCCTAAAAATTTTTTTTCATTTTTTTCTTTTCAAATTCCTATTCTTTCTTGCATAGAATTGTCAGTATGGTAGATATAGCACTAGATTTTGCGGACGATTATCTTTTTGATGATTTATACGCGCGTTTTTACCCACGAGTTCAAACAAATTACACCTTTAATGCTAATAATGTAATGCCTCGTGAAAATAGTTATAGGCAAATTTTATCATTATTCATTCTTACAAATTTCTTTGCATACTTTTTCTACTTTTTCTTTTCAACGTTATCATACTTTGCTGTATTTGATAAAGAATTAATGAAACACCCGAAATTTTTGAAAAATCAAATAGCGAAAGAAATAAGGTTATCTGCTATGGGTTTTCCTGTTACTAGTCTCGCTACAGTACCTTGGTTTTTTGGTGAAGTTAGAGGGTATTCTTTTTTATATGAAGATATTAATAAATATGGGTTATTTTACGCTGTATTCTCTATTTTTTGGTTTTTATTCTTTACTGATATGTGCATTTATTGGATTCATCGATGGTTGCATCATCCACTCATTTACAAGCATTTGCATAAGGTATTCTTTTTTTTTTTTCATTGGATGTTCAAAAAAAAAAAAGAAGTATTTAATTCTCATATTTTTGATATATATATATATATTTATTTATTTATATGATAGCCTCATCATCGTTGGATCAGTTAGTGTTCTTTTTTCATTTTCATTTTTTTCTTTTGATTATTTACAAATGAGATTTGACGATTAATCACTTTCCGATTACAGTCCCAACGCCTTACGCATCTCACGCATTTCACCCCTTTGATGGATATGTTCAATCCGTTCCTTATCATCTTTTCGTATACTTGTTTCCTTTACATAAGTATATATATGTAGGGTTATTCACCTTTGTAAATCTTTGGACAATCATGATTCATGATGGTAACCGTTCATGCTTTTTTTTTATTTTATTTTTTTTAATCAGGGAGAAAAAATTTTTTATCGTTAAAGGTTTCTTTTGATTTATTAAAAATAACAAATATTTTTTTTTTTTTTTTAGGTAAGTTCCTTACATCCGGATCATTTATCAATGGTGCGGCACATCATGCGCTTCATCATTTATATTTTAACTATAATTATGGTCAATATTTTACCATTTGGGATAAGTTTGGTGGTAGTTATAGAAAACCTAGTGATGAACAACTTGATGATAAGAAAAGGAAGGATCAAAATATCTGGAAAAAACAATCCACAGAAGTCGATTCTTTTGATGAGAATGGAAAAGAAAAGAAATCTTAAAAAAAAAAAACTTAATGATTATCAAATTCTTTATATTCAAATAAAATTTATTTATTTTTCCATATCTGAAGTTTCAAATTAAGAAAAATATATGTATCTCTATTCTTACCTTGTTTAATCTATAGTTATTTAGTATTCCAATCCGTGAGCCCGATCAACATTTACAATCAAGAAATTTTGATTTAACTAATTCAGTGCCATATATTATTACATAAGTAATATCAATCATTTTTATGTTTTATGATTTTTAAAAAAAAAATAAAATAATTGGGAAACGTACTTTTTTTTTTATGAATTATATAAAATTAACAAAATTAACTCAATGAAATGAAATCTATCATATAATTTAATATATTATATAATATAGCAGAAAAATTCAACAAGCAATTTCTCAACCCGTAACAATCTGAGTTCTCCCGCCAATGTACCAGACAATATTAGCTTGATCACTTTCCAGGTTGCTTTTAAGTATGCCTTTTTTTTTTATAAGAACTGGTGTAAGTTTATTGTGGATGGGATGATGAAGTGGACGTGTTTAATGAGAAAGAAAATAAATATGAGTTAGTTTGGTTAGATAACGCATACTTGGAAAGAAAATAACGTTGCTGGGAATACTAAAAATCATCATATTTTGATAAATATGGACCCAGTGGTTGTTTCAACAGAACTGCAAAAGGAACCGCAAAGATAACAACATTTATAAATAAACATTAATCAACTCAATATTAGAAGGACATCACGCTCGTAAATACGAGTCACTTATTCAACTACCAGAAGTATATGGAGTATTTACGACCCGGTTGTACATATATAGTTGATACTAGTACAGTTGCTTTTAAACATAACGATTTGTTTCGTCTGGATTTTTAATAAGGATAATAGAAGTTAACGGTGAATAAAAAAAAAACTAATTAATTTTAGACTTTAAAACTTTCGTTTATCGTATCTTGATTTTTATTATTATTTGAACAAATAAACAAATTACAACTACAAGGATATAAAAGCTCACAAAAT